TATAAGTCAGTGAGTCTCAGCAAGCTAGTTGCAGACCTGTGAGATTCAGGCAGATTTCTGGCTGCAAGTCCCAAGTTGAGCTCCCTGTCCTCCTGTAGGGTTGAACTCTGCAGAGTTATATTGCAGGTTCCAGCTTCCCTTCCCCTGAAGATAGTCCCGGTCCTGATGCGAGGTGAAGATGACTCCCACTTACCCAGTACAGTGGTCTGGTGGTCCAGTGTCCTCTGTGTCTTTGTAGTGTGGAACCAGGTGGCTGTACAGAGAAGAGGCCAGAAGAGTGTGTGTGTGTGTGTGTGTGTGTCCAGTGGATTGCTGCCGGGTGCGCCCTGATTTGGCGTGCGACCTTGGTACGGTGTCCACAGACCTGCCTGTCTGCAGCGGGCTGATTCCTTCAAGGATATTTTAAGTACATTACTAAATAATACTATGTACATCAGAACTTGAAGTGCAGTCGTATGTCCTTTAACAACTTCTGAGAAATGTGTCTTTAGGTGATTTTAGTATCGCTTGAACATCTTAGAGTATATTTAGCCAAATCTAGATTGTCTAAGGTTAGTCACTCAATGTGCCCTTTTGATGCAGTCAAAGAGGAGGTTTAACATTTTTTATAAGTTGAAAGAATACATTCTAAAACTGATAAAAAACAGCCAGGTGTGGTAGTACATGCCTATAATCCCAGGGTTCAGAAGGACAAAGCAGGAAGATAACTGCAAGGAGACCAGCCTGAACTCACTTTACATAGTGAGTTCAAGGCCAGCCTAAACTACATAGTGAGACTGAAAAAAAAATATAGTAAATATATAAACCAGTAATGTAATCATTGATTATCATTATCAAATATTACATATTGTACTCTGTTTTGTACCTTTTTACTACTGGCAGTGTGGTTGATTTGTGTATACCAGCATTACCACAAAAATGTGAGTGATATGCCAAGATGTTATGTTGGCTCCAACTTCAGTAGGTGATAGAAAATTTTCAGCTCCATTATAATCTTCTGAGGCCTCTGTGGTATATGTGGTTCATCATTGACCAAAACTTTGGTATGTGTAAATGACTGTATTTGATTTGTGTATAATCTAATTTTGATATTTATTGAGTTAATGGTGGAAGCTAATTTGACATTCTCTTAATATGAACTCTCCATTAACTATTCCGTTTATTTATATTATAATAATTAATGCTCATAGTAACTCTTTGGCACTGCAGTTTCTTTAAATAGACATCTAAATTTTATTAGTCAGTTTTGTCATGTCTGAATTAGATCATTACTAATTTTGCTTCATAATGTGCCTGATCATAATCTTGTATCAGGAATAGAAATGTTCGTTCCACTCTTTTTGTGTTTGTATATGCTTACATTATTAAGAATTGCCAGAGTCAGTTGCATGCATGTAAGCACTCAGGGAGACTGAGGCAAGAGGATCGCAAGTTCAATCCCAGCTTGGGGCCACTTAGTGAGAGCTCATTTCAAAGTAAGAAGGAAGGGAGGGATGGAAGGAGGGAGAACAGAAAGACAGACAACTCAGTGCAAAGGCCCTAAGTTCAATCTGTTTTTTCACAGTATTTTTTAGTAATTTAAATTTATTTCTTCATTAGGTTATATATATATTAAAATACAAAATATACAAAAGTATGTACAGTAAAAATAAGTCTCCCTCCCATCCTCTTTCTCTGGCTATTGATTCTCCCCAAGGCAATCATTGCTGTGAGTTTCTTTATATTCTTTTAAAATATTCTACCCATTCTTCTTTTGTTTTAGACAATATTTTGTGCCCTATTTTTTCTACTTAACATATTTGGGAGACTGTAAGTACACAAACAGCTCCCTTTAAAAAATTCTGCACTTGTTTATTCTTGTTATGATAGACATTTAGCCTGTATGACTATTTGACATAAGTGGTTTTTCACCTGTGCAGTTATGTGTGTAGGATAATGTGCTACAAATGAAAGTCACTAAATTGCCATTCATAGAAATTATCGTTCTAGCTTTCACCAGAAAGGTATGAGTGCTTCTTTCTCCCAGACTCACTTAACATTATGTTACCAGACTTTATCTTAGCTTAGTAAGTATATTAAATGGATTATTGTGCTTTAATTCATTTTCTCTCATTGTGAATGTAACTATATAGTACTCATATATTTAGTAGCCATGTATATTTCCTTTTCTTTGAATTGTCTCTTTATATCCACTACTCCATTTTAAAAATTGTGTTGTTGATTTTTTAAAATTTTTATTTTTACAGAATCTGTGCATATGTTGAGGAAATCAAGTCTCCGTGAGTCGTCCCCCCGCCCCCCCAGTCAGTTCGTGATTTAGTTTTTGGCTTTGTGATGATTATTTCCCCATTCAGAAAATGGTTCCATTTTTAGGTCGTTGGACTTTCTTCCAGGAGTTTTTTAGTTTCACTTTTTATAGTTACTCCTTGATCCATTTAAAATTTATTTTGGCATAAAATGTGAGGTAGGGATCCAACTTTTTCTTTCCCAGATGGTAACTCATTTTTTTCTACTAATTGAAATGCTAACAGGAATATTTTAATATACTTATCCATATAATATTACTTTAATTTTATATTTTACAGTATAATCCACAAGTATACTTATTCACCTACTAAACTCAGTATGGATTTGCATGAATGAGCCAAGGTATCTTTGTCAAACTGAATTGTAAAGGTCACCCTTTTCTCTTAGGATACATCATATATTAATGATACACATGACTATCAGAAATATGGACCAAGTGAGGGCACTACATGTTTATCTGCATTTTACATTTAGTAAAGCAGTGCAGTTAGATATTCTAAATGTGTGATTGCCTTGCACAATTTCAGTCAGTTTCTGGTTTTTTGTTTTTGTTTTTTGTCATGCTCTTCTTCCTTCCAAGAAAATAGGTTTCAATTTAATAGTTGTCTTCTTGGTATCTGAGATGATTGTATTTGTTGGTAATATGGATATACCCAATGCTGTGAAGCAACTAGGCAAAAATGATTCACATTTCTGGAAAATGCTCTGTAAGTTCATAATAGGTATTTTCTATATGTTATTGCTAATAGGAAGGATTAAAATTAATATTAACAAGAATAAAGATAGTTTTTGTAAATTAAAATTGCTTTTTGGTAGATAGAGTGCATTATGATATTACTAAGAAAAAACAGTGAATCTAGCACTTGGTAAACTTGCAGATACTTCTTGGGTAAGTTTAATTGTTGAATATAATCCTGAATAATAATGAATTTTTGACTCTAGCCCAGGTTTCAGATGTAGTCTTTAAGAAAAATGCAACTTCAAAAAATTTTTGAAAGAAAAACTATTGTTATACTCATAAATTATTATAGAATATTTCTAGCAGTTTTTTAGAAAACTTTTTGAGAAATCGTAATTTGAAGATAAATTATGGCAAGTCAGACTTATAGTAGTGGCAACTTAAAACTACGAACACGTATTTGTTCTGGAGATGGAGAACAATTTCAGGTGGAAAAAATATAAATAAAAATTTTGTTTCCCTAAATTAGTAACTGTTAATGTCTTATGACTTTTATTTTTATAAATGAGTGAAATGATAAATTTATTGGCTCCTTTTGCTTTTCTGATACTCTTTAACAAGTTTTATTCATAACTCTGCTTAATGTGGTGTATTTTCAGGTAGATACATATTGTCTCTTATATATGGTGACCAAAGACTCATGACAATGTGTATGTTCCTAATGCTAAAGCTATAAAGACATTTTCAGCTCAAAAGAAAGAAAATTCTAGGGAGCTTTCACTGTTTCCTTCTTTTTCCTCTCCCTCCATTCCTTATTTGACCAAATTCTTACTAAAGTCTATAAGTAATCATGTGAATTTAAGTGGGGAGGAGGGGATGCCTACTGGTTGAATTCTGAACAAATAATTTCTTAGTTATTTTCTATAAGAGAAAATTTTTACATCTTTGAAATAAACCTTGAAACTGCATTTAAAAATTGAATTAAAAAGCAGTATAAGCAGAAGAGTTTTAAAAGTAACAAAAAACTCCCACCTATTCTCATCAAAATAAATTTATTTTAGTAAGAAACTGATTAGATATCATAGGTATATCTGGGTTAGAAAATAATTGCAATTTTTTGTTAAAGTAACAAGGAAATTAAATGTAGTTTTCACATTATAACAGACTATTAATGAATGTCTTAATCATTTTGTTTTATTTTTTGAGACAGGGTCTTGCTATGTAATTCAGGCTGGCCTTGAACTCACTATGAACCCCAGGCTGGCTTCAAACTCATGGCGATCCCCCTACCTCAGCCTCTCAAGTGCTGGGATTACAGACCTGTGCCACCATGCTCAGCCAGTCATTTTAATAGTGTAGGTATTTTTAAAATATGAAAATGGGTAATTAGTGCATTTCTTTTCTTGCAGGGTTCATAGAGAATACTGACTAGGCAAAAGTTGCTTATGGCTTCTCGCTGTAAATATTTATTTAAGAAAATAATATTGACAATCTTTTTAATATAATTTAGTTATAATAAAGTTAAAAAATTGAGATATATCTGGCATACCTATATCCAGCTCCCCTTTTCAGAAGATTCTTTCTTTTTAGTCTGATTCTTTCCTTAGAGTAACAAGAGCCATTTCTCAATGTCATTAAGGCTCTAAGCTGTTGTTATTCATGTTATTTTCTGAATCTTACCCAAATAAAAGAACTTTACACCCCTTTATATAAATAAAAACTTTATTATGAAAGATTTTAATAAACTCAGAAAAGCAACATTTTTTCACTGACCACCATTCAGTAAGTTTAGTCAACTGCAATATGTTGGACTAATTTGTTCAGGCATGCTGGAACAGAAAAAAAGTATAGTACCATCGTATCCCCTTCTCTTTACTTAGAGATTTTTAGCAGTTTGAATCAGTGAATCTCAGTTTTCTTTAAGATAAATGAATTACTTTAAGCATTTCAGGAGAAATATAGACCATCTCCAAGGTCTGTAACATTTTACATCTACAGTAGTACCAAAGGAATTCCTTATAGTTCATTTGAGAACCTCAGATTAAGAATACCAGTTTTAGGGTATCTGATTTTGTTTGTGTCTTTATTTTTGTGTCCTGGGAGCACTTTCTGCATAAATTTTGTTCTTTTTTTTTTCTTTCTTTCTTTTTTTGATACCAGGGATCGAACTCGGGTCTTTGCGTTTGCAAGGCAGGAAGCGGAACCACTGAGCTAAATCCCTGGCACAAATTTTGTTCTTTTTAAAAGGAGAATCCTCACTTTGTTGCTTCTTAGAAATTCTATCAATTAATGATTTATATTTTATTACCTATTTTTCTTAAAATGCTTTTTAAACATTAAACAAGGTCCAATTTTCTTACAAAAACTCATCTGAATCTAATTACCTCCCAAAGCCCCGACTTCCAAATAGAATCATATTGGAGATTACTATAGCATGGATTTGGGGGATACACACTCAGTCTATAGCAGTTGTTTTGTTTTTCTCCTGCAGTTTTGGGTCTTCTGCGGTCTACTTTGCTTCCAAAAATAAACATCTCAGTTTCTTCACCTTCAGCTCAGAATAACCTTGTTTAAAAGTACATCAGACCATACTACTTTCTTGCTTACTATCTTTTACAAGTATTACCTAGGCTCTTCATCTGGCCCCTGCCTCTCCAGCCTCATTTTATATAACATTTTAAAACTTGTCCAGTGATACTGGATTTCTCTCTCAAGTCAAGTATGCTTTCAGCTCTTTAAACTTTCTGTTAAATTTTCTGCCCCAAATCTCTTAGCTCCTTCTTCATATCTCAACTGAAGTGTCATCTCCTTAGGAATACTTACTTTCTTAACCTCTTTATATAGTGCTGGGTTAGTTCCTATTGGCACTGTCCGGTTGCATCCTGTACTTTTCTTTGCATTACTACATTACTCATCTAATTACTTGTTTAGTATCTGTTTTCTCTCAGTATAGACACTGAATTTGCCTTCCTGATCTCTGTATGTTTTGTCAGTAACACAGTGCCTGGCACATAGTAGACATTTTTAAAATGTTTGCTGTTGAATATATAACAGTGATATTGAAGTTACATTTTTAGACTGTCTTATGAATCAAGTAGTTCAGAGAATGGTATTATAATTTAGTCATTCTCTTGATGAAGTTTGAATTAGGTTACAGGACTGTTAAAAAGAGTTCATATATACTTTTCACCCAGTTTTCCCTAATGTTATCAACTTAACCACAGAACAATTTTCAAAACCTGGAAAAAACATGTTCATACAATATCCTCGGACTAAACTACAGGCTTTATTAGGATTTTACCACATTTTTTTCCTCATGTACCAAGACCCAATTCAGGATCCCACTTTTTCTTTAGTTGCTGTCTCTTTAGTCTCCTTCAGTTTGTGGCAGTTCCTTAGTCATTTCCTTGACACTTTTATGAATTATTTGTATAGTATCTCTAAGTATTTCTGTCTGATATTTTCTCATTATTACATTTAGGTTAATGCTTTTTTGTCAAGAATACTTAGAGAAGTGATGTTGTATCCTTTATAGTGCATCATTTCAGGAAGTACATGATGTTGATATGTCTTATTTTATTGTTAATGTTAACCTTGATTATTTGTTTAAGGTATTTTCTACCTAGTTTCTCCACTGTAAAGCTACTGTTTTTCCTGTTGGATTGATAAATATCTTCTCTCTTTTGCACACTTATTTTGGCATCTGTGAGTGGATCTTGAATACAGCATTCTCTGATTTATTAATTAGGATTCCTCTGTAAGGAAGAACTATCCTTTCTCCCAGTTATTTACTTAATTATTTATATTAGTATGAATCTGTAGATATTTGCTTTATTCTATGAGCTACAATCCAGTACTATCTTCCCCCCACATTTGGCCACTCAAAAGTTTCTTCATGTTGGCCAAGTTCAATTTATATCATTTTGAAATAGCACCATACATTTGTGATAATTCCATAGTTTTTGGTGTCAAAAGATGCTCCAGTATCTTCTATTTTCCCCGACTCTGTTCTGCAAATCAGCTTTTTCTAAGAACTTAAGTTCTCTTACTGAAAAATGGAATTTAGAAACCAAGATCACACCCCATGTGTGTTTAAATCCCACATCCCAAACACAACTCTCAGATTTGGTGAAAATCCAACTAGCCATTTCCATGTGGTGTGACAGTAGACAAATAGAATGAAATTACAGTTGGAGCTATTATTCAGGGCTCTCAGCTGCTTTGGAAGTCAGCTTCTTCTAAGAGCCCTGAGTTCTCTTATTGAAAAATGGTGTAAGAAACCAAGATCTGAGTGCTAGGTGTACTCAGTGTTATTGG